AGCCCTCGCAGCAAGCTCCTCAAACCCACTTTTAAAATGTAGGAGCTGTGAAGGAGTTAATAAAATTGCAGCCACTCTGAGACAATCATTTGGAGTTAGAACATTACTAGAAAAGAAAGCAGATAACATTTGCTGTGTAAATGGGGAAGACAACCCATACTGTGTAATTGCTCCCTTAATTTCTTTCATAGCTTTCCAGTCCATAGGAGTCCAGACAGAATGTCCCTGAGAATTTATAACAGGGAATGCAGCAGGAACATCTGTCGGTAAAATAGTACCATCTATAATTGCATCCTGAATGCAGCCTCGTCATCTCATGGCACTCGGATTAGCTTTATTAGATGTAGGAGTCGGTGGTAACGGCACATCACACGGACTGATCTTATCTGTTTTGTTCCGTTTTTTCTAGTTTTTCTGGGGCTTGCTGCCTCTCCTCCCCCAGACTCCTGCAATTGTTTATCTAAGGATTTTGTCCATTGTCCCCAGTTCCACTCACTTTGCAGCTCCAGTGGGAGTGATGCAAGCGGTGGTTTATGTGGCGGAGGTGGGTATTTATTCGGAGTTACACTCTCCCCCTCAGGAGACTCCCACCCCGGCAAAAATTCCTGGGGACTAAGTTTAGGGGCAGTAGCAGCACGAAAAGGGTTAACATCAGTTTGTTTTGGTTGCTCAGTAGCCGCTACTGGCTCCCGAGTATCAGCTGGAGCTACCGCTGGTAAAGGCGTTGTTGACACCGGATAGGGGAAAGGCGCAGGGTCCTCAAACTTTCGTACAGTACTGTGCGCCGGTTTTTGACCAGAATGTTTTATGCCCGAAACAGACGACACTACCATGGCTGTAGCACGGGGTGCTGAATCTAATGTAGGTGCCAAGCTCTGCTGCTGTGAAGGTGAGTCAGAGAGAGCTGTAAAAGCGGATTTTGCCGCCTGTTTCTCAGCCTTCATTGTGGCTAGAGTCCCTTTTAGTAGTAACCAGGGGGCAGCAAGAGACTTTGCCTCTTAAACCCACAAGTAACTCGATCCCACAGGCATGCCCCAATTTTTTCCCAAGTCCCGAGATCAAAAGCTTCATTAACCCCCTGGATCAGCTCTTTTTCTTTACTCCAGAGCAACAATCTTTTTAACAGGTTATTGTCATATTCTATCCCTCTCACTGAGAGGATATGCTGGAAGAGCTTAAGGATGACCATTGTTTTTTTTCCCATCCTAACCCTCTTCCAGACCCCGTCGGCTGTTACCTTATTTGCACTGTGCAGTGTCTTCCGGGCTCACTAGGCTCCGTTCCGAGGTGACTACCTCCCGATCCTGGTCCTGCCGGACCGAACCCAGCCGACGTCCCTGCGGCTCCACGTTTTCCACTTTCTTCGGTGCCACGCGCTATAATTCTTTCAGCTTCAATATGAAAAATATGGGGAGTCCCTGTTCAGGCACCAATTGCCGCAGAAACTATATGGACTCAGTCAGAGATCAATATGATCAGACAAAAGCCATTTATTACAAAGCCTTAACCCCTTAAATACTATTTCTTACATGCACTTACAGTGATTTGGCATATTATGATTGGATACATGTCTTGAAGAACCTTTGCAACTAACATATAATTGGTTAAGCACAGGTGTGGGAACTTGACCTCAAAAGCTTGCCAACAGTCCACAGTTCTCATTAACTGGGTGAAATCCAGCTGCTTCTTATCTTGCTTGTTTAGGCTTCTTTGGGCCTCTCATGGCCTTACTGTATCTTTCAGGATTTTCAGAGTTTATGTACCAGTTATCCATTCTCCTGTGAGAACACTGTCTCCACACCCTACTCACAAGAGGAAGACTCATTTACTTCATCTTGAGACCCTCGCCCATGACTGGGGGTGGGGAGACGGGATACTGCGTGGGTGCAAAGGACCTTCTAGCTCATTATAATATGAAGCGGGGATAGGACATGAATATGTATAGGTGTATTGTGCAACCTTGTGAATATATATAACTTTAGAGAATAAATGTAGAGGGAAACAACACTGAGGTACGCATGCCTTTGGAGGAGCTACCCCCCATGTGTCTCAGCGCTGAATAAAAGCATACCTACTTTACAACTTCAAGGAGTTGTGGAGTTTATCTGTGTATCAGTATCATACGAAAAGAGTAAGGAACACGTGATTTAGCACCAAGCAGAAAACATCTAGATAACACAGATAAATATGATTAATAAACAAGGAGATATATATTGCCTGGACACAGATAATATATTCACAGGGAGCCAGACCAGACAGTGAATCACTACAGCTTGGAACTTCATCCTTAAATACAGGGAGATTGACAGGTCACCTCACATCACTTCAGAAAGTAGACATAGGACTTCCATAGCAACAAACATTATCTGAATCAATCAGGCTGGAAGGGACCTAGGGAGGTGTCTGGTCCAATCTCTTGCTTAAAGGAGAGTCAGAGATGAGATCAGATCAGATTGTCCTGAAAATATCCCGAGGGTAGAGATTGCACAACCTCTCTCCACAACCTCCTCCACTGCTTAGCTGTCCTCAGGGGGCAGTTCTTCCTAACATCCATCAGGAATTTCTTGTTTCAATTTATTCCCTTTGTTGCTTGTCCTGCTGCTGTGAACTGCTGTGAAGAGCCCAGCTCAATCTCTTCCATCACCTTCCTGTGGGGTGATGCGGGTTGCAATCAAGTGCTCTTGAAGCCATGTCTGCTCTAGGCTGGAAAAACCTCGGCCCTGCAGGTTCTGCTTGCATGGCAAGTGCTTCAGACACCAACTATTTCAGTGCCCTCCTCTGAACCATCTCCAGTTTGTCAGTGTCTTTGTTGTATTAAGGGGTGCACAGCTGGATGCAGTATTTCTGATAAGGTCTAATGACTGCCAGGTAGACTGATTAACCCTACCCTCAATCTGCTGCCAGCGCTGCTGGCTTTCAGGCAGCTTGGGTACTGTCAGTTGTCTTTGCTGCAAGGATGCAGCAGACTTTTGCTCAGCTTGCCGCCCACCAGCCCAAGCAGTTTAATGCGCAGGTCATTTGTACCTGCACAGAGCTAGAATGTCCCCAGGTTTCCAAGTGTCGATGGTGTTGGTGTAAACATCCCTGACAAGCTTCCTTTGTAGAAAGGTCTGAGTTGGAAATGCAGCTGTGTGAGGATGTTTCAGGGAAAAAGACAGGAAGAGCTCTTGGTTAAGTCATAAGCCTTTGGGATACATGCTTGCACAAAGCTGAAGGGAGCTGGTTCCTGAGCAGTGCAGCAGGTACGCAAAGCTGCTTTGTCACAATAGTTTCCATTTCAGATTTGCATAGTCTAAAAGAATGCTGGGGCATATGTATTTATGTTGCCTCATTTTCACTGTTAACTTTTCCTGAAGGATAAATAGGTAGTTGTTTCTTAAGTGCCGTGGACAAGGCATATTTCACAGCCTCTCTCTCACTGGGGCCTAGGACTTGGCTAAGGTTTTTGATTGTCACCGGAGTTCAAACGTAATATTTTGTTATTTATAGTAAGTACTGATTTTCTCATAGTATTTTCCTGTGGTAAATGGCATTTCGTTTTCAAATGAAAGGCCTGTGCCTGTCTTGCCATGTAACACCTGGGTCTACACATGTAAAACTTTCTAGCTGGGTGGTAGGTAGGTAGGTAGGTAGGTAGTAGTGCTGCCCTTCCAATTCCAGTGGGCCATACCTGCCCAGGACAAGTGGAACATGAGCAAAAACGTGTACAGCATCAAGTTCTTTTTGTACCCGTATGTGTGTCTTCATGTTCCTATATAGAGCCAGAAGGGATTGTGACAGCGTCACGGTGACCCATCTCCTCTCCAGTGGCATGTGACTGCTACATCTGATCAGTGCTTAATTGTTTGCAAAGAATTTACCAGGCAAATGTAGCTGCTGTGTTGGCTCAGGGGGTATCTTAAACCAGACTGTTATTTTTCTGTTTATTAATCATTCAGAAGTCGTCTTTTTTTTTTTTTTTTTTTTTCACTGTTACTGTGGATAAGTCACTTTATCTTTGTAGCTGGTACATGTCATCAGGCAAATTTGCATGGATCATTTCTACAGGACTCGCTATGATCTTTCAGCAGATCACAAGAGTCTGCATTTAAGATTGGAAAAATACAAACCTTGTTTCTGCACAGGGTCAGGGTCAAACTTTTCGGTGCATCTTGCTCAAAATTCACTTTCTCAGACATGATAGCCCCCCTCTTGCCCACACCCGTACCGGCGCGGAGACCCTTCCGCCGAGTTTCCCTCCAGACACGGGAATAGTTTGAAGCCGGAGACCCGAGCCTGGAGCAGCCGAGGAGCCGGTTTGCTCTTCCGCCTTTTGACCGCTGGTCCACACCGGGGTCAGCGCCGCAGCGGGAATCACGGCCGGGGCCACCCGACGGCAGGGCTGCGGTCACGGCGGGTGCGGGGACTCCCCCGCCCGGCGGCAGGGAGCGGCCCGCTCGGGCCCGAGCGGCCGCTGGCACGAGCCGCCCCGCTGCCGTCTCGAGCCGCCCCGCTGCCGGCTCCGCCCCGCTCCCGCTGCCGGTCCCGTCCCGGCGCGGCCTGCCGGAGGCCTGCTCCCGGCGCAGCTCCGCCTGCTGCCGCCGCGCGGGGGCAGTCCCGCGCCTTCCGCTCGCCGCTCGGGGAACGGGCTGTGGCCGGGGCCAGGGCCAAGGCCGGGGCCGGAGCTGGAGCTGGAGCGGGCGGGACCGGCGGCCGAAGAGGGGCGGGGGGCAGGTGGTGCGGACGGTGCCTGGTTAAAGGGGCGGGCGCGGCGGCGCGGGTAGGCGCTGTTTTCGCTCCGCCTCCTCTACCTCCGCCTCGTAGTGCGGTGGTGGCGGGCAGGGTCTGGCAGCGGCCCCGAAGCTCCTCGCCGAGGCGCTTCGGCCTCTGCTCCCTTTTTCCCGCGGTCGCTGTCGGGTCCCAGCGCGATGTCGGGCGGCGCGGCTGGCGCCCCCAAGCCTCTCCCGTCCTCCGGGCCCAAGTCTCTGCGGGAGATGCCGCATCCCCTGGCCACGTCTAGCAGCGAGGAGATGGGGCCGGCGCTTACCCCTAGCCCCGACCTGCTCCTGCCCCGCAGCATCGCCGACAAGGTACAGCCCAGGGGCAGGGGTGCGCGACTTTGGGAGGGGTGTCTGCCCTTGCAGGGAGCAAAGGGAGGAGGGTCGTGTGTATGTCTCCCTGCCACATTCTATTCCTCGGATGCATCCCCGGCTCCCCGCAGGGAAGTGAAGCCCTTGGCGCTGCTGACATCCATTACAACAGCCTGGGGCTAATGGGGGGGGGGGCGAAGACAGCCGGCGTGGGGACTGCAGGCACCGTGTCCGTGTCCGCGAGGACCAGCTGGAATACTGGTGCTCCCACTGTCACCAGAGTGGCTGCGTGAGGCAGGGTTTTACTGATTGTATCTTCCCGTGGTTCATACCCTCTACAGATGGGTATGAACGCTTCAGGAATTGCTGCAACTCCCTCACAGTCTCTTTCCTGTAGCCCTAACGGGAGCCTTGGGGTTCCTGTTGTTTCCTTACTGCCGAGCTTGCCGTTATTTTGCCTGTGATTGTCCTCTCCATAGCTGAGCTCCTGCTCGCTTCTTCACAGTAGTGGAAGATGGAAAGGATGCTGTTGTAGGAATATCTGGGACGGCTTTCCCGTCCCTAGCTCTGGCATGTGTCTGCGGGACACTAGCAGGCTTCGTGAAGTGCTTTGCCTGTGTGGGGGCCTTGGATGTGATAATGCCGGAATGTGGAAGCAGCAGTAGCAGCACGGCACTGCTGATACGTTAACTACACTTGCAAGGACTTGATATCTCTGTGGGCATAGTTCCTGAACTGTCTTAAGGTCGGATTTCCTGGGAGCAAGCGCTGCAAGGGATGAGATCGGCTTGAAGCTTTATAGTAACCTGTTCTGGGGCAGCTCGTGTGTGAACAAGGTGCTACAGAGCTGCTAGTAGCAAGAGGTGCTTCCTGTGGTGGTTGTCCTCGGCAGTGTGGAGCTCCTTCTGGGAAGGACAGACCTGCTAGCCTCCAAAAACGCAGGGGGCTGCCCAGCAGTGTCTGGTATGTATCTCTCATGTTCTAGGGAAATGAGTCAGGGTCATCAGGCCTCTTCCATGTGTCAGCTGTGCTGCACAGATTCAGCACTTGTTCCTGCCCAGGTCGAGGACCCCCTTCTCAAACATTTGCCCACTGTTGTGCAATTAAGAAGCCAGGCTTACCTTCCCTTTGTGAAAGTATATACCCCTTCATCTAAGAAAATTGTCAAAACGTTGATGGCCCTATGAGACAGAAACTGACGTGATTAAGGTGGGGGTATGAATTGCGGAGTCTTTTGTCTGTGATAGATTGGATTTACTCATGTAATGAGGTTGCTGTCTGACCAACCTGCAGCAATAGGAGTTGCTTTTTGTGGGTCCTTGTGTGGTGGTGGTACTGTACTCTGTTAGCACTGTCCATCCACATTGCTGTGTAGCTAGTAAAAAGCGCTGTTGCAAAGAATAGCTCACACCCTATAACTTCTTTCCTTAGCTGTACTAATGAGCTTTTTTTGCTTCTGGAGCTCAAGCAAGCGCTTCTCTGCTTTACTGCTTTGAGGTGCCTGAGAAGTGTATCAACATCCTTGGTAATCTTGACGCACAAATAACTCTGTAGCCTCAGGTTGCGGTCAGCTAACTTCTCATTAGTGGAAAAGATTTTGCCCAGTTTTTCTACAAGCAGCACAGGTGTGTAACCCATTCTAGGACTGTCCTGTTCTAGCACTTTGCATCAGAGAAATACTCTAAAGGGGAGAGCAAAAAGGGGCTGATGTAAGCAATTTTTAGACTTGAGAGCAGTTTTGTGGGTGACCTGGAAATGGCACTAGGGTAATGAGCCTTGCAGAATAAAAGGATTTCCAGTAGGAAGAGAGAAGCATTCTTCTTTTTTTTTTTTTTTTTCTTTTTTTTTTTCCTTCTAGCTGAATTAGCAGGAAAAGCCAAATGTCTGATCCTTCTGGTAGAAGGAGTCCAACAGCTCTACTGTGTGAGGGATGTCCCTTCTGCTTAATACCTGATGCACTGGCAAGAAAAAAAAAATGATCTGACTTCTTTCCCGGTTTAGGAAGAACTGGTGTTCCTAACTTTTAAGGCAATAGTAAACTTTAACCACTTGCACTGTGTATTGCATAGTCTAGAGAGTGAGTATGGTAAGTGGAGGTAAATAGGTAAAACTGTCTTTTAAGCAGTTAGTATGTCTCCTGGTCTTAAGCTGTGGTGGAAGGTCATTAATCTTTTGAAAGGCTGCCTCACTAATCGACTAACAATGTGCGGATAGCTCCAATAGTTGGGTAACAGGAGGTCAGTATTCAAGTCTGACTTGGGCTTAAAGCTCTACAGCTGTTCTTTATTGATTCTTGAATAGGAATTCTGCTCCTCTGCTCTGTGGGCCTTTCCAAGAGTCTTTCTGGAGAGTCTGATTGAGATTAGCACCATAGACGTTTGGGAAAAAGTCTCCAAAGCTTCAGAGTGCCTCTGAGTCCTTACACTTCTGTAAGGACCACTGTCCATAGCCTGGTCTGTACTAAGACATTTCTCTGGCAGAGGAATTGTGGCCATGTCTGACCCATCTCCATGAAGTGGGTAACTTTCTTTTTCTGGGTGTTTCTTACTGCTCTAAGTAAATATTTCCTAAACACTGCTGCAAGATTAATGTAGCAATGCTCCGAGGGGAGAAAGTGCCCATAAAGCAGTGCTTCAATTTCCACTGCCATAGATGTGCAGCCTGCAGTGGTTGAACCTTTGGCATCACTGATTTGCTTTCTTTAAGGCCTGTTTTCTTTACTTTTTTGGAGCTACTCTGTAAGAACACTAATTTATCCTGAATCAGGAACACTGCCTATGTGTCTCCTGTTGGGTTTTGATACAAATGTGGGAATAATCTAGTATCTTAGACCCTGACTACCTTTGAAGTCTTGTGAACCTTTGGTTGCTGTTTAAGAGCAGTGGCTAATACTACTAGAGCAGTAGGTCATGGAAAAGAGAAGGAAAACCTGTGCTGTTTTCTATGGCTTTCCTGGTTCTAAGTAGGCTAGTTTCAAGTTTTCTGAATCTTGTGAAAAGGGATGCAGAGCTTTCATTGTCTGAAATAGTGTCCTCATCCTGACTTGGAGAGAATACTTTTAAGAGCCAGGAAACCTTGACTCCTGAGCAGCATCTAATGTATTAAATGAAATGGACATTTCTGGCTAAGCACTTGGCTTTCACAGCAATGCTGCAGCAAACATGAAATACTTGAGTTGTGGGTTAATGTCTCTGAAGCATATTTCTGTACTGGTCAGACCTTTCTATAGTAATCTTTCTGTTCCCCTCAAGTCTAATTGCATTAAACATCGTTTGTCCTCATACCTGACCACCATCAGCTTTTATGAGCTTATTTGGAGGCTTTGCCCTGCTAGCCTCCAAATAAGGAGACAGCTAAAGCTGAACCTAAGCAATAGCTTCCCCCCCCCCCCCCTTTTTTTTTTTTCCTGTTAAATATGTATATTTATTTATTGAGCGGGAAACATGCAGGAGGAAACAATCCCTCAGGATACATGACTGGGTCCACTGCAGTTAGCTATTTAAAAAGAGTTCTTGCTCTCTTACAGAGTTTTGGAAAGGCATACAAGCTAATTGAGATCTGCTTTTCAGCACAGATCCTCTGCAGAGGAGGGTAAGACAAATGGGGAAGTGTCAGTGAGACCTTCTTTCCTTTTTTCCCCTTTTTTTAAAAAATGAAAGCAAAACCATAAACTTCTGCTTGCATGTGACTGCTTGATTCCAGTTCACTTGTCACTTTTGATAGCGAATCTGCTGCATGCACTAGGACAAACACTTTGACACTGAGGCAAAAAGGTGTTATTAATGCTTTTCTGGGTTCAGAACAGAGGTGAGAAGTAGATGGTATTCTGCTGTGTGATTGTACCTAAATGGTTGTGTAAGTATGGTAGAACTCAGGATGCAGCCTCACTGAGGCTGTGCAGATTTAATAGCACACTGCTAATAGTGTTGGGAGTGCCAGGCTGTGCAGAATTAGGAAGAAAGTATTCTGTATGGCTTACTCAGGCTGTCCTTGCCTGCTGTGGTCCTTGTAGACCTTCTAGACTTGTGAGAGTATTTTCTTAACAGGATGATGTTGGCTGTTCTTGATATGGTTTGCCTTGAGACAGCAAGGCAAACTGATAGGGTTCTGACTCCCAGTACTGGTTTCTTGCCTGGCACTCCAAAATCTTTTATATCCCGCCTGTCCTAGGGCTCAGACTGCCTTGTCTTTTTTCAGACATCTCTGATGACCTGATAGTATACTTGTGGCCAGCTACCAATAACCTGTTCAGCTTTTCTTCTTTGAAGATGTGCATGTCTTGTATTTGGCTCTGTTAGCACTGGACAGCTGAAGTGAGCTCCAAGGCTGTTTTGCACATAGTATATCAAGCAGAACTTATTAAATACCAGGCTTGCGATAAATTCATAGCTTGAATTTGCTAATTCATGGAGATGAATGTTAAAATGCGTACTGCAAACTTCTGATTACCAGCTGAAAACCATTGCTTGCGTGCTTGCTCATCTGCTTCTAAACTACAACCCTGGTGAGCCCCTAGGCCTGAATTAGCACTTGATCAAGTATTTATACTTGTTGTGTTTGCTGGAGTGCTGATACCTAGCACTTATATTCTGGAAGGGAGCCTGGCAGCTCTCCAACAAAAAATATACAAAGAGTCTGGAGAGCTACTTCCAGCCTTCCTGGTTCCTAGTTTATAATTATTGCTCTTAACTTCATCCACCCACAGATGAAACCATTTTGCAGTATAATATGAAAGCTTAAAATAGATCTGCCTGAGCTTCTACAAACCTCTTCTGTGACTACATGAGAACTGTTGAACCAACACCATGTATTGCTTTTAAAGCAAGCTGGAGGTAAATTCTCAGTCTTGGGAGAGACTGAGGGCTACAGAAACTCAGGAACTGAAGTTGATGAACTTGTGAAGCAATGTCAGTGTGGATGGGTTGATCTCGGTTCCAATCTACAGGAACACAGAACTGACAATCGCAGAGAAGTTGAAGCTGGGAAGCATCTCTAGATAA